CTTCCAAGGTCCCTTCCACCCCTAATGTCTATGAAATCTTGAAGTAGAAAAAAAAATTTACAAACTGTGTGCCACATTCACTGGACTTAGAAGAAATAATCCGCTTAGGTTGCGCAACAAGGGAGATTTAGGTCAGATAAAAGGAAAACTAGTTGTAAAGGTAGTTAAACACAGGACTGGATTATCTAGGAAGGCTGTGGACCCTTAATCATGTGGCATTTATAAAAGCAGGTTAGATGAATATCTCGGAACAGTTTAGGCATATCTGATATGACCTTGGAGGAAAAAGATAAATCAGATGTTCTCCCAAGGTTCCCTTCCATCCCTATCTTTTTTATTCCATGAGTTTGTTTTGTTTGGTTGCTTGTTTGTTTTAAATACACTACAACTACTTTGGTGAATCCATCTAGGTGCAGTTTAGGGATCCAGTTTTTTATTTGGGATGTGATTCTGACAGTAAACTCTCATCTAGAACACTAGGTTCTTTTGCTCTCTTTTGCTTCTGTTTTAAGCCCAAACTGAATGGAAGCAACAAGAGAACTATTTGCTTTTGGCACAGGACTAAACATGGAGAATCATTAAACCTTCATTATATTTATCAATTTAATACAGCCAGAGCAAAAACCGCCCCCCTACGCAAGTAGGCTAGTATCTAAGCAAAGAATAGGCTTTGATCTCTTGACAAGGCTAACCACACAGGTCACTTGGCAAGGAGGACTGGAGTTTATTAAGGGAAGCGTTTCTCGCTAGTCTTTTGAGAGAAAAATAACAACAGACGTCTTGTTCCAGAGGAAGAAAGCCATGTGCAGTCAGGATGAGAAAAAGACTTTTTGATCCTTAAAAGTTTGATCCTTAAAACAATGAAACACTCAAGAACAATAAATAAACCTATGCAGAGAAATGCAGACAGATGTACCATTGTTTCATGAAAATCTATACAGAAGTGTGAGGTGTAGATTCAAACCCCCTCCAGCTGAGTGGAGTCTAGAACCCAGGCCTCCCACTTGATAGCCGGCAAGTACCATAAGCATTAGCTTAATGGGCCAAACAAAGGCAGAGCCTTTTCCTGCCACTGGGCTTTAAATCAGTGCTCTTCTAAGATGTACTGGTTGAGGTAGACCTCTGAACTACCTAGAATCAAGTTCTCACAGATATCTCCCCTCTGAGGTGGATAGATCCTGACAAAACAGACAAAAAAGCTGCCCAGCATGAGAAAGGGAGAGCTATATGCCTCCAACATGTTGCAATAGGACTAGCCTCCAGAGGGGAGTATTTTTTGGGCAAGCAGCTGCAAAGTCTTTTAGATGTCCAGTAGGCAGATTAGATTTGAGCCATCCATCTTACACATTCTTTCAAATGAACATTTTTAAAATTCTGTCACTGCTTCTGACAATAGGTTGCCATGTTAATAAATAGCCATATTCACAAGCCATGTTCTCCATCACATATGAATAATCAAATATTTCTGATAAACCAAAAAAAAATCCTTCTTCAAGTTTCCTTACAGCTTTTTGCTTTACCTGGCATGCATCAATGCCACCATTGAGGTTTCCTGCACACAGCATCCGAGAAGTAATCAGATCATCATAAAGCTTACTGCAGACACTTTGATTAATTATTTTCACTCTAGCTTCTTGCAGTGTTTTGGCAAGCTGACCTAGGAAAATAAGTACATGATTTGTAATGTTTCCTAAGACATTAATGAGTTAAGCAATGAGAGATCTGAACATACACTTCACCAGTTTTAAAAGAGAATTGCTATGTAATTCTGGCTCCCTCAGACTGTTTCTACCCACAGCATTTGCATATCCATTTGTAATACCATTTCTGTATGATCCTTCAAGAGAAAAGAAAGTTGCAAACTTGTTACTATTGATTTCTTGTATTTCCTTAATGCAGTAGTCCTTGATCTTTTTAGACTCAAGGCACCCTTCCAGAATTTTTTTTGAATTAGTGGCATATTTCAAAAACTTAAAAAAAATGTAAAGACAACAGAGCAATTCTTCTATTGCAAAAAAAATGAATATGAGTCGCCAATGCAATGAAGCAATAGGCAGAGCCAACCGCACCCTGTCATGCATCAACAGGGGCATCACTAACAGGTCCAGAGAGGTCTTGCTCCCCCTCTATGTGTCGCTGGTCAGGCCGCAG